AAAAAAAATGTGATGTAATCTGAATTGAGCTGTTTTTTGCACTCAGACATGACGGATCGATTGGGTCGTCATTAACTTTCATTCGATGGCAATCTTCAGAAATGCACAAAACCTGTTTTAAATTCATCAATACATTCCTGAAATCAGTAAAGAGGAACGCGCTCCTGGGAAGCATATTTCTGAAACTACATCGATTAAACAATCGTCAATAAAATTGAATTTTGATCGTCGAGAGTCTCCAAAGTGGATCCTTCGTGAAAGCACCTTACAGACTGTAGAATGTAGCGTCGCGTGAAACGCGATCATTATTTGAACGTTGAAAAATGTGCAATAACTACGGAGCCGCGCCTGGAGCCAAAATAACTTGGAAATAATTTCTTTTGGTCGTCCTCTCGCTGGGAAAGCTTGGCACCCCCTCCGCATTCTGGCGAAGGGCGCGCGCGCGCGCGCAAACGGCTCGGATGACGCGAGCGCTCGAGCCCCTTGGCGCTAGCCAATAGGAGCCGGAGTTGCTCGCGCACACCTGCCGATTGCGTCAGCCAGCCCGGAGGCCGATAACTCCGCCGTGCCGCCGCGCCGCCGCGCCGCCGCGCCGCCGACTGCACGTACGCATAGAAAGCGAGGGCAGGCCTGGCGGAGCCGACGTGACGCAATTGTTTAGGGCTCGGATGAAAGCTCACCGTGCTGCCTTTTGTTCGTCTCTCGACCAACTGCGTAATTCACTCGGCTGCGAGGCCTAGTTTCATCGACCCGTGAAGCTGCCTACATTGACCATATAGGCCTTTTTTCTTTTTCCTTTTTTTTTTCTTACGGCCGCCACGCGCGACATACATAAACGAGATATATCCGTTTTCTCGATTGATCGGTTGTTTTGACAAAATCTAGTTCAGCTCGCTCGAAAATCGGCCGAAGCTCGTTCCTCGCGACAGCCTACTATCTAATCGTCCGTGCATTGTTTGTCCGTTGACCGCTAAGACCAGCGCGGCTAAGCAAACTTCTTTTCATGCAAAGCGTCATTGCGTATCTCTCGAACCCACAAAGAAACGTAGTAAGTCTGTGGACCACGATAGATGCACGCGATTGCACTGAAATGTTATTTAAATAAAGACAAGCATTTTCTTATCTCTGTGATATTAGAAAGTCAACTGGTCATTGTTTCAATGTCCTTCTTGGAATCATGACGAATCCTTCGGTGAATCTACGACGCTGTACACGCTGATGTATTTCGCGATAATCAATTTTAATATTACATTTGTTGTCGATCAGTTGATGTTATCTCGTGAATCGATTATCACTGTTGCGGCGTTAGGTTTCTATAAACACAGGCTTGATTTTTCATTTGGATGTACTTAACGGATCTTTCATTTATGTTTGTTTCAGGTAAGTGTCAGCTGTTATAAATTTAATCCAAGTCCAGTTTCAAGCATGAGTATACTTCTTTTGATATATTGTACTATAGTCTCTCGTGATAGCGATTGCATCTTCCTCGACTGCGCGTCGACCCTGCCTACCACCTCTCAGCCAAGGCGTCACACACGCACACACACACTCTGCAATCCCGCGAAAGACGACGAAAAGTCTGGCGCACACGTACGTGACCTTTGCTCAAGCTTGCCGAGCCTCCAAACGTCGAGAGCGATAAAAGCGCGTGCGATTCGTTCGTTCTTTCCGCCTACGCTTTACGCTTTTGCTCACCGTAGAGTGAGAGAGAGAGAGAGAGAGAGAGAGAGAGAGGAGGGAATAATTGAAAGCGCGTGGTTTTCTCGTCGGCAGCATTTCGATCACGTTTTTACGTTGGTAGTCATCGTAGCATTGACTATTTATAGACTTTTGAAGCACGACAATATTTTTCTTAGTAAACGCCTGTAATCGATGAGACTATTGTCTAGAGTAAGCAGAAACGCGCAATGTAAGGGCTTATCGTGCATAAGTTTGTTTCTGAGAACGATAATGTGCTCTTTCGTACAAAGCTGGAAGAGCAATCTGAGTCGAGAAATCGGAGAGGCATAGACAGACGAACGCTCATCGGAAAACGTCATTTGGTCCGTTATCGCGTGAGCTCGCACAATCTCGTCGACCCGTTGCGTAATACCGCTGCCCGCGCTGGCAACCTCGCGCGATTTTTCCGCTTGATTCTCGCGATGAAAACGCGACGCGCCGGAGCTTAAGCTTTCGTTAACGAGCTGTTGTGCCGCCCCTAACGTCGAGACGGATATATAGCGCTGAGTTGCGAAAGGCTAATTTCTCGAGGCGTATGGGGTCATGCGATGAGTTCAACAAATTTACGTTCCTCTTGGCGTATTTCTGGCCGATCAAATAAGCATTGGCCGTCGTTTCATTTTTGGACTTTGGAGTCGGCGACTCTTTGCTCGACGTCCGATCCTTTCTCGCGGCGATACGCGCTATCGCAACAATCATATTTTCTTCTTTCGTATAGGTAAATACATGACTTCCCCTTCGCCGATAATCGAGTATTTTACTTCTTTTTCTTCCTGCTCGATATGAAATTAGTCCAACGTGATAATCTTCGCACGCGATATCGTCGCGTTTCTATGCACAAAAAAAATTTGTTGACAGACAATTCCGAGACAAGACATTTCCGTGAAGTCCTTAACAGCGGAATCTTCAGCAGGACAAATCGCCCACTTGAAAATGAGTGATCTAAGAAAATACCACTCGTTCGATCCACACTGAATCTCAATCTCTTGCATCTTTCCGTCTCGGTAAGACACCCGAAAAAGCCTAATACTGATATAAACAAAAAGAACAAGTCAAAAGCACAGCAGCACAGCGTAGCTATGTATATCTATATGAGAACTATAGTTCTCATCCCCGTCATCCTCTATAGCAGCCACATAGCCCCCTCTCTTTCGTTACGAGAAATCCCCCTACCCTCGGCTCGTTCTCCTCTCGTGGCGCGATTCTGGAGGCGCGCGCGTCGAAGACATGCGCGCGGCGCTTGCTGCCGGCAGTCGCAGTATAAAGTGCGAAGGAGCAACACGCGAGTGACAGTGCGATCTTTTACGCAGACTTGGTTAACAGTTCCTATCCACATTAGCACATTCGCCGTGAAGCTACAAGTCCACCGCGTCGTTGCGACAAAATATTAACAGCGGTAGAAGTTTGTGTTCGCCGAGTGTGTCTTCTTTTGTGTCAGTATTAAAGCGATGAAAATGACACCGGGCCTGTCTACTAGCGACCTGGTCAAAACAGAGGTGAATTTCTTTCTATTTCCTTTTTCCCTTTTCCAAGTTTGATCTAGTTATTATAAAACGCGCAATCGTGTTCGGTCGATTTCTCGGGACGCGCGGTCGGTAAGGCAGTGGAGTGTTTATGCGACCACATGACGCGTCGCCGGTCGCCATCGATTTTTTCGTGATAGAACGCTGTGTAATACGTATATAGATATATATCGGCGAGCAGGAGGCGCAATAGAGAGATGCTGTGTGTGTTTGTACCCGTGACGTACTTGCCTACTGCCTTTTACATAACCTACGTGCGGTGGCAAATTGAATTATGGCACGTAAGGTTCATTAAAATGATTAGCATTGTTGTCAGTCCGCGCGACGCTCGCGCACAAAACACTGCAGCAGATACGAGCTTTCAGCGCTGCCGCTGCGCTTGCAACGCTCGCGAACTTGCAACTGCAAAATATCAATATTTTTTTCGCTCCGACGAAAGCTGACGTTCTCTCGATGATTTTGACGAATAATCATCCAAGACGGCGTCGCTCGTTTTTGCGACGGATCGTTGAGATTGAAAATCGGGAACGGAGTATAATAGAACGCAAATACTGATATTGATCGTGGCGAACGTCGTATACCGTTGCTGATATTGGCTTTCAACGCGGCGACCTGCTCAATAATTCGATGCTCGCCCCGAAATTCCTAGCGCAACTTCCGCTCTCGGCGATTAGATTACGTTCTACTGACAAACACGATCGTTGCACGGACGTACAGGCAACGGGATTCGACAAACGAAGCGCGCTCCCGAAAGCAGCCGGGCGCGCCAGCGAGAAATCGATTCTCGTCGGGATACCTGACGTCGTCGCGGCAAACGACTGATAGCGAGCCGTAGCCTTAACCTTGAGTGCACCTCAGCCTCGCCAGATCGTTAGGTCGACCGAGTTCTCGTTCGCCGAATAAAATCTGCACAGAGTTGTTCCGGGGCCCTTTTATTTTTAGCGTTTGCGAGCGTGTTTTCAGCGATGTGCGCTTCGCCGATCACCGATAAAGGCTTCTTCGCGAGTGCTCTTAGTCGACTTTGAAGTGCGGCTGCGGATCGTCGAAAAGCTCGCGTTCGTCAGAAACGCACAGGCTCGTCATTTCCCTCTTCTCCGAGTAGGGCTGGCTGGAAAATGTAGCTTTGGACACGATGGTTACAACGATCAATTGAAAGTTAGCGTGTATCTCACGATCACAGCCGTTTCCGTGACGACGGAAAACCTGCCTGTAAAAGTTGGCAGCCGAAAGGCAGAAAGGGAAAATCGATAGAAGTCACGGTTGCACGCAAGAAGTGACCGATCGACGCTCACAATTTCCAAAAAAATTTCTAATCTTGCCGAGCGCTCGCCCACGAGGTCTGCGTGCCCTCGAGGCCTCGTTCTTTTCGCAATTTCTCAAGCGTCAGTAGTAGTTCGAGGAGACACCCGCGCTTTCACCCGTGGCACAGAAACGCCACGCGCGTCCCCTTCGGAAGCGAAGCCTCGGCCAGTGCGTGCCAAGAAAAGGGAAAGCGAAAGGACGCTCCCTAAAATTGTGCCCCTCAGCGGGAGACATTCCCCTTCTGGAAGAGCAGGTCAGGTCAGAAGAAGCGAGAGGAAAAAGCGGCCGGAGGAGCGCTACAGTGCGTTATATCGATGAGCGAAGCTCGACATAGGAGTATTGGTGAGCTGCGCGCTGAGGCTCTGACATTGGCAACTTTCGCCGTCCGCGCAAGGGGAGGGGAGAAGTTAGGTGTAGGTTGGCCTCCCCGCGCGTTACACAATGCCGATCGATAGCGCCAGCAGCAGCAGCAGCAGCAGCAGCAGCAACGCAGCACGCCACCGGCTGCCCGTCCACGCGTCCGTCCGTTCGCCACGGTTCTCTTCGCCGAGTAGCGCGCAAGCGAACGCATTCGAAGGGCTGCGCTTGCACTCGTCAGTCACATGTTCTTTTACCTCGTCACCGTGCTCAACTCGATCGTGGCTTTCCGCAGTTACAAGCAGATCAGGCCTACGAACCAGGTAATGCGCATGCCTCGCGTTTTCTTTGGCTGACCTTACTCTCGTAACGCTTGATTTATCCTTCGTCCTTTTCCCTGTCGCGATTGAAAAGACTCGCGGTGTCGAGGCGTTTGGTCTAGCGCGCGGCGGCGCGAAACTTCGTCCTCGACGTCGCGACTCTTCGAAGCCGCTATTGGCGTTCGCGATGCAACGTTACGAGGCCGTTTTGCCAGCTACCGAATTGCCGTGGTAATCGGACCGCGATAGCTGGCCAGTTTTCGAGGTTAGAAGAAAGAGCAAGTCGACGAGCAGTGCAGGTCGCGACGTTCGAAATAGCAAGCCGCAGGGGCAAAATCGTATTTGGCCGAGTGCGCGACACTCCGCTTTAGCTTACACACGGACTTGGGGATCTCGATCGTAAAATCGATGGCATTATCTCCGACAGACACTCGGCGCGCGCGCGCGGAGCTTCGAAGTTCAATATCTCGCTGGAGTGACGCCGCTGCCGCGAATGTCTATTTATGCGCGCCCGGAAAATCACGCCAAGACGGATCGAAGCGGCAGGCAGCCTGCGACTGTATACGTGGCCAAGGAATGCTTTCGTACGTCTTACCTTGCGATAGGTCGGCTTGTGCGCGCAATTAAACAGCGATTGCTATTTTCAGCTCGACCGACGCAGCCTCGTTGTCTCTGCATGTGCAAATTTACCGATAAAATTCTTGAGTCGCGTCGATTACCCCATGAGGCTACTCGAAACGTGCGCCAAGTTGAACTTAAAAAAAAGGCGAACCTTCGGGAGGAAAAAGAAGCTCTTTAAACTCTTGGGAGGGAAGCGAGAACCGGTTTGCACTCGTGACGTAATGGAACGCACATGCTCGAGTCTGCAGGGGAGAGGCGAGAAGAAAGCAGCAGGCGCGCATCGCTCGCGGCTCGTTTACGATGTAATAAATTCGTCGCGTGGCGTAATATCAGCGCGCGCGTGGCACGCGCGATTGTCGGCAATGGTAATGAAAGGAAGCGGAGACGAGCGTGGGCTCGCGCGCTACACTCGGCCGGTGGGCCTTTATTTTCGGTGGCGCTCTAGTGCCGCTGTTTCCCTAATCCGGAAAGCCGTTGCGCAATGCAAACACAGGCAAAAATAAAATGCCTTCGATACCGGCAACGGACGAGGATGCGGCAATAACGGCTTGAGCACGGCGTCGGCGTGCACCTCGTTTTCAACGCGGTAACTCCAGCACGCGTGCCTTTCCTTGTTCCTCGCGAAAGTTGAGTGCAGCATCGCTAGATGCAAGCTGCACGTGGCATTCGAGAGCCGCGGAACCCCTGGAACGGTTACGAAGGTGCGTGCGCAGCTGCCACCTCATTCATGGATCCACAGGGTCCTCCATATTGGCTCGCCGCGGGTGTGTCGGCCTGGCTTTTCTCCTCTCTGACGTCAGCGATCGATGCTACGTCGTCGTCGTCGTCGTCGTCGTCGTCGTCGTCGTCGTCGTTATATGTTGCGGGCTTTTATCGAGCGACCCTCCTCCTCCGGAACTTAAGGTCGCTTGTTTTCGAGAAGTCACGCAAGGCTTGGATTTTGTTCCGGATGCAAACAAACTTTTAGCGCGAACAATAATGCAAATCGACCCGAAAGCAGTTTAACTGGTTTGAAAGGATGTCGTTTGCATTGAAACAAAGTCAAGCTTCAACGTATCGCGAATTCCATGCGAATCATAAGCGACAATATTCTTGGTAGCAGCGCCGATATCATGATTTCCGCGGCTCTTGGTGCGCATACTGACTTTCTAAAAGAATGCGTACGGTTTACGCAGGAGCATAATGACGGTTTTTACAAATGCGCTCTCTTTTCCTTCGTCACCCAACGTTGAAAATGCACACGGGGCCGATTAAAAACGCGACTTTCACTTGCTCGAACGAACAAATAAATGCACAACCAGACGCAATAAAACGAAAGAAAATGTATTTATGCACCGACGTAGTGACCTCGGCAAAAAATCTTGTCGGTCTTTCGAGCTCTCCCTTACCATCAATTTCGCTGCTTTATTTGTTTTATTTCACCCGCTGTCGTTTCACTTTGAAGAAAGCAACTCATGCAGTGGCAAATGATATTCGCAAATGATGCGTTTGATCGATAGAAATTGTATCGCAAAGCTTATCGATCAATCAAAGCTTATTACAAAAATTAGAGAGCTATTCGCTTTTCCGCGTGCGTCCTTGCAACTGATCTCCGGATACTGTAGCACGCAAGACTTTCCTAGTAACTCCTTCGGGTCAAACGTTCAGTTTCTTAATATTTTCCCTCTTCTGCCCGAAGGCCGTAAGAGAGTATGGAGACATCGATCAACCGACCCAGACACCTTTCTCACTGACCCAAATCGATAGACTCGTGTCTGTCAGCACGTTTCACTCGCGCACACTTTTTTTCACTCGCTACGTGCAAACAGCCGGAAAGCCGCGCGTCTACTTTTAAAGAGAGCCGTCGAAACTTTTGACATGCGCTTTATATTTGGAGCAAGTTGGAGACGAAAATAGGCTATTGGCAAAGATTACGTTCTTTCGATCATGTGGAGAATTGATAAAGTGACAAATCGATTTATATAGCGTTCAGTCATCGAGTCTAATTGCTTGGAATGTTAAAATAAGATTTCACACAAAAAACCAAGGAAACTGACATTTCCTTGGCTTTTTACGTGATTTAGCATTGCCGCTAATGCGTTCCAATTACTCTACCACAGTCGCGTTTCCTCGATAAATATTTAAATTCATAAATCACTTACCGTATGTAGTATTTTCAAACTAAATATTGGTCTGTAAAAATATATGAAATCGATATGTAGCTGCAGCAGCAGCAGCAGCAGCGAGACAGAAAGATGTTTTTGATTGAATATTGCTTTCTAGATTCGAAAGGTCATAGCTCCAGGCTAAGTCTGGTGGTCCAATTAGTTTGTAACAATTTCATTCAAGTAATATTTCTACTCGCGTAACAAGTACCGAGCAAACGTTAGTTCACGTCTGCGCCGTCAAAAGTCAATCGCAAAGTGACCTCAATTATCTCCAAAAGCCCAAATTGCATAGAGACGTGCAGTTGCTATTGATATTCTCCAAACGTGCATCGAAGTCAACACATAGTGTCACGTTTCGGACTCTGTGGCCTCGTGATTATTACAGTTGACGCCGCGGCAAGCGATGGGTCGTTGCACCGTTTGATCTGCATTTCATCTACTATCAGAGATACTTCCAGACGCCAGGTTACGTCAGTGACTGAATCTTTGAACCACAAAGTTCGTTTTTCAAATCTATGTGTTTCCAGAGGACACAAGATTTCAATGTCTGCTTGTGTGTGCACGTGCAGAATTAATATTCGATGGATGGTAATCAGAAATGAACGTGTCGCGTCGACAATGTTTTCTAATGTCGTACGATACGTAGATAACCAAATTTATGAGCAATTCGATTGATTGCTACGGGCGTCTAAATCCTCACGTTCATTATTTAGCCGCAAGACGACGCGAATAGAAATTTTCTAAGCGACCGACGATTTACGACTGATTTATCTCGGAAATCTCTGGAAAAGTATAATGATAAGGATTGCCGCAAATAGTAGTACGATAATCGTATCACTGCAGTGATACGATTAAGTAAAGTCTTGCCGATAGAAGTGGCGCTTTATAACGATGATTTTTGCTTCGCGCATGTCTGGGTGCATATCTTTATATTTTCCTTCCGGTATGATGTTACTTCCTTAGCACGTTTCACATGCAACTTAAGTACTTCGTGTACTCTTTTTTTTCAACGTTCAAACGAGTTTTAATCAAACATGGTGCACTCATATCGAGGCAATACGAACTGTTTTAATTGTTCGGAATTAAAGGTAAAGTTAGTTTTATAATGGCGTGTTTGTAATTACATATTCATTTGTAAAATTCCGCGCACTCGTAATATCAACTAATGACCTGCAGCAAAGTCGTATGACAAGAAAATAGGCAAACATTATAAACAGTGAAATAACCGCAAACTATTATCCAACGACGTAAGCCAATCTTCATAAAAACTTGAAGAAGCCAACATCTTCGCAAATCGTAAAGCAAAAATCGGTCGCTCAGTTAATTCGCTAAAATCAATCACTCTTTTTCTCTTACTGCAGTCGATACGCAAATATCGTTCTTTTCTAGATTGAAGATTAAAATAAAAGGAAACTTTCCGCGAATTCCTACATAGGCAGATATGAGTTTCATAATCACGCAGTCGTTTCGTGAGATCATTATTTCTCCGACGCTTTTGTAGATTCATTTTATCGAAACATTTTCGGACGATCGTACGAATTTTTTGTTTGAATGAGGAACGAGAAATGTGACGATTAGATTAGAATTATTAGTTGGTATTTAGTTGGAAAGTTTGATAAAAATTGATAAAAATGAGCGCTACTGTTAACTTGGTTTGAGGTTCGATAGTTCAAAATCGTTACCAAATATTCGAGAACGTAAGGCTAAAGCCGCGATGAAACAACGGTCGATTGCATACAGGTTACAAAAGGATGTTTATACCTATAGAAATCTGTTTATATTCTCGCGATCGAATTCAATTAAGAATCCGTTAACAGCGTTCCGTAAAGCGCGCACGAGGCAACGTCCAGCACGAATTGACTGGCCCGATCCAGCTCTGATAATTTAAGGAAAAACAAGGAAGTACGTTGAACGTGTTGATTACTGGCAGCCTTGAACACCTCTGGCGTTGCAATTAATGACTGCTAGCTGCGCAGCGCGACTCGACTGGAGAGTTATTTTTCCTGCTCTAGAGTGAGGTCAGAGTTCGGCCGGGAAATCCGCTTTTCCTCTAGAGGCTCGTTAGAGCAATGATTCAAAGCTGCCGGCCGCTGGGACCAAATGTCACGTCGATTCTCTCTCCGCATTAGAACGATCAAATTGAAATTGAACCTCAATCGAATGAAAACGCGTGCGCCGGCGCAGCGGAGGGACAATACAATCGAGCGCTCAAGTGACACTCTCGAGTGGCTCTCGTTCAATCGACTTATTGAATTGAATTTGCCACTCGGAATATTGCAACGATATTTCTCTACGGCTAAAAAGTAGATCGCGCTCCCGCGCTCGCTCGAGGCCAGCCAATATTTATAATTTTCCTTTCTTGTCCTTACGTAATCAGCACGCGAAAGCATTAACAAATTACGCACATTCACTCGCGCGAGGCTGTTGCGCAATTGTCCGGCGCTTTGAAAAAAAAGAAAACAGAACAAGAAGAGCCTCGAAAGAGGTCATTAATTCGGACGAGAGTTCGTTTCAACTTCGTTTCTTCTTTTTTTTTTCCCCGTCGAGTCGCATGCGCAGCAAGTCACTGAACGCTCTCCATTCACAGTGCTTATCGCTCGCGGCGCTTTTTATCGCGGCCTTGACTATTTTTTTCTTGCTGAAATAGTAAAGCGTGCATCCACCAATTCCAGTTGTGGACGGTACGTTCGGTAGGATCTGCCGTCTATATCTTTAAGCAATTTATTTAAGTGCACAAGTTAACGATATTCCGAGGGACTTTCAGCTCGAATTTCATTAAACTTTCTTGATTGAATGCCTTGAGTAATAGGACATTTTAACGATTTAATTTCTTCGTCTACTTTTGGATGAAAATGATCGATTGAACTTTTGCGTGCGCGCGCGCGTGTGTGGGTGAACGAATATAAGGAAAACTCTAGTTATATTGATATGACGTTTGAAGAGTAAATTGTCTAGCAACGCGTAACATCCACGTTACTGCAATTTCGCGGCGTTGGATCCCTCGAATGCACTTCGAGCAAACAGCCAACAAGCCCGTACAAACGCGGTGCTTCGGGAGAACTCGTCAAACATCTTCGTCGGTAGGGTCCTTGGCGTCGAAGCGGAGAAATGACCGAAAAAGTGGGAAAGCGAACGCGGGAGGTCGGCCAAGGGCACACGGAGGTCAGGCGCGTACAATGCTCGCCGGAATTTCCCGAAACGCGACAACCGGTCGTAAATTCGAGCGTGGATTTCGGGATCGCTAGGCGGGCCTTCGCGGCAGGCGGGCGCACAGACGAGTTTTACGAGATGCTTGCGCTTGAGGCGAAATCTGCTTCCGAGGTGACAGCTCGATTCGACTAAATCTCTTGACTGATTTCTGGCTGAATTTTAATATACGAGGCTCAACCGAGATAAAACATTGATGAAGCATGCTCTAACGTCCATATCATTTTGCAGATAAAAGATGCGTGCAAAGATTTGGTGCTCTCGGACGAGCAGCTGCAGCTCGTCATGGAGAGACTCACGAACGAGATCGAGAGGGGTTTGTGCAAGGAGACCCACGACGACGCTATTGTCAGATGCTATACCACCTACGTGCAAAATCTGCCCAACGGCACTGGTAGGTTGCCCGCGACGAAACGCGAACCAAACACGAGCTGCTTGCCTAAGTGGACGGCGATGCTTCTCGTCATTTAGATTTATGAGCTGCGCGCCTTGCTTTCGGTTCTTTGCAATAAATAATGGCTTTGATTACTTTGCTCAATTTGCTTCGCGTCGCTGGAAAGTTGTCGATGAGATGCATTGCCCATTGGGAACAAAGCAGTTTGACGAACCAACGCGAAGGGACAACATTGTTGGTCCGTCGGGGCGGAACGGTCGAGGGAAAGTGCCGTCGACCGGGCCTAACGAAAATCAATAACCGCGAATGATTTACGAGCGAGAAAATTCATGACTGTCGCAGAAAAGGGCAACTTCCTGGCATTGGATCTCGGAGGCACGAACTTCCGTGTACTGCTGATCACGTTGGATTACGGCCACTTTGACATGAAGAGCAAGATTTACGCGATTCCACAGAGTCTGATGTTGGGCACAGGTACCCAGCTGTTCGATCACATCGCCCAGTGTCTTGCACTATTCGTCAAGGATCTGAAGCTCGAGAATGAAGTGCTGCCCCTTGGATTTACTTTCAGTTTTCCACTCACCCAACAGGGTCTCACCAAGGGATTACTCGTCAGGTGGACCAAAGGCTTCAATTGCAGCGGCGTCGTCAACGAGGATGTCGTTGCGCTGCTCGAGGAAGCGATCGCCAGGAGGAATGTTAGTATACTTGATTTTCGTTCTATATTTTTCACTTGAAGGACTTTAAACTGAAATTTTAACGTCGGCTTCCGATTTACTTTGAGTTGGATATTTTAATGGATCAACAAAATAAATTCATGCAAGAATTGATCTACTTCACGTTATTATTTCAAAAGAACAATTTCCAAGGCGCTCAATGTTCAGTGTAAAGAGGACATAGTAATCGACCAATGATTATTAATTGCAGGACATTAAAATCGACGTGTGCGCGATCCTAAACGACACCACTGGAACGCTTATGTCTTGCGCTTGGAAAAACAAGAACTGCCGCGTTGGCCTCATTGTCGGTAAGTTGACAATCAATATCCGTGACTGTATAACCTAACATCATGTTCTAGTACTGTTTCGCTTTCAACGTCATTGCGACCTATGTTAAATTAAATATGTTTTCTCACGAGGCTGCGGAAATCTCATTTGCGAAAATTAGAAAAAATTTCGTTATCTTATCTTTTTTGCAATTGCAGATTAAGCTAGCTTCAACTTTTCTAATTACTCTGTTGTTTTCGTACTTTGATCATTAAATATAATTTTACGATTTCCTTGTACACGACAAAAACACCTCGCTATCTTATTCAACTGAATTGTCCAAGCTGTTTTTATATAACCTATTTGTTATTCTTGTTACAATATGTTATTGAAAATCAATTATTTCAACTATGTTTATACACTACTTATCAGTTTATATAGTAGTTGTATAAATATATTTTATTCAACTATGTTTATACAACTATGTTTATATAACTATCTTGAATTGATGGAATTGTTTAAATTGAATGAATAATAAACTGAATATTTTCCCTAAACTTACATAAGCTACGCAAAATTGAAAAATCCTAATTGTTTCAGGAACTGGATGCAACGTGTGCTACGTAGAGAAAACAGAGAACGCAAAATGCGCGCAAACTGGACAATACGATCCTGAAAAACCCCATATGCTTATAAATGCAGAATGGGGAGCTTTCGGTGAGCGAGGAACATTAGATTTTGTCCTCACCGAATTCGATCGTGATATCGACGAAAACTCCATCAACAAAGGCAAACAACTGTTCGAAAAAATGATCTCGGGAATGTACATGGGTGAGCTTGCCAGGCTGGTACTGGAGAAGCTCACCAACGAGGGATCACTGTTTAACGGCAAATGCTCGTGCGAGCTCAAGAAACGCGGCAAATTCTTCACAAAATACGTTTCCGAAATTGAGTCGTAAGTTACTCCCCTTACGAATAAATTAAGAATTACAGAAGTAGTTTTTCGAATCATTGGTTGATCGTTGTCGTCGTCTCTTACAGCGATCCAAAAGGAAAATACGGAAACTGCCGTGAAATTCTGGCGGAATTGGGCATCACAAATGCAACGGATCAAGATTGCGAGAACGTACGATACGTATGCTCGATAGTGTCGAGGCGAGCAGCACATCTTGCATCCGCTGGCATTGCTTGCCTTCTCAACAAGATGGGTGAAAATAACGTCACCGTCGGTGTCGACGGCTCCGTCTACAGATTCCATCCTCACTTCCACGATCTCATGGTTGAGAAAATCAGCTCGTTGCAATCCTACAAGGTAATCTATCGATGCACCACTGTAGTTGCAGATAAAACTGCCACTTAACATGTTTATTGAATTAATTTTATTTGCAGTTTGATCTGATGCTCTCAGAGGACGGCAGTGGTCGCGGCGCGGCGTTGGTCGCCGCGGTAGCCTCGCAAAAACGGTGAAGATAAGCGGCGGGCCGCTCATAAATTATACTTAACGAAATGAAAAATAAACTTCTAGACTAAAGTATATTTATTATACATAATTAAATTTAACAAAAAAGTACCGAAACAGATTGATACACTTCTGTATATAGAGCACAAAAAATGCGTGTAGTCTAGCTGAAAGATTAAAAAAAAATAAACAAACAAAAAAAATCGTATCTGAAATCGTTTGGAGCTTTGTTAATCAACGATTTTTAAAGCGATAAAACAACGTGAATCTAACGAAAAGCTGGATTACTGTTATTATGATTAATATCAATAATATTGCTAGTCCGATTTGCAACGGACTTTTATCACTAGGTATATGATTTTATTGTTATCCTGATCTTCAGAGAGATATGCGTGTGTGATCGTAGCTATTTGTTTCTCGTCGGAAAGTAAACAAAAATATGAACAGATATATATCCCGAACAATTCATTTCGTTGTTTATTTTTTTTTATTACAGTATATATATGTTTTAAATTGGTTTAACGAAAGAAGAATTATATATATGAAAAAATACACGAAGCTCCGCTATATATATTTTGATACTGATAGAGCCTCGCATCGCTATGGTAATTTTAAACACAACTCGGTTGAAGATTGAACCATTTTTTCATTTCGTCCGGTTTGAATTGTTCTTACTTAAAATTGAATTTATTTTAAATAAAAAATAACTTTTCGGTAGATAAAACCATTCAATACGATCCTGAAAAACCCCATATGCTTATAAATGCAGAATGGGGAGCTTTCGGTGAGCGAGGAACATTAGATTTTGTCCTGACCGAATTCGATCGTGATATCGACAGAAAAAGATATTGCCTTGCTGCAAGGCAATATGTTTTTTTTGTCTATAAAAAAAAATCATACGTCCTGTATTGCTCCTAAATCAGAGTATCAGATATTATAGTCGCGGGTGAACCGAATGCGTTATTACGTAGTCGACTTATTAGAGAGCAATCTTGGCGAGTATGGTTTTTTTTTAATTTTACGCGCGATTTTCAGAAATCAAACAACAGTAAACGTCTTAAACGTGATCCTAAACTTTGGAGAAGCAAATATCTCCCTACGTGAAAGAAAATAATCATTTTAATTCCCCGTGACACGAAGGTTTATTCATACGAATAAAACATTCGGAAAATTCGAATGGTTCACGTGGAAAGATATTGCGAGTAGTGTTTGATGACGTTATAGTAAGGTGCAAAGTATAACGAAAGAAAAAAAAAACTATGTTTACTTCGTGCATTTGATAAGTATACGTATGCATATGCGCTGATTTTTATCCTTCACCATTCGTACAACGAAAGTATAGATTGGTGATAAGCGCAATGCATACAACTCAGTACATGTGCAGGCTGCTAGGGGAATCGAGTATTTGCAAAGAATACGTAAATTACAACAGATATATGAATATACCCAAAGAAGTTCAAGCCTTTCGACTTATATCGCAATACAAACATCTGACTTGTCAATGGCATATTGTAATCATTATCTCTATTCAGAGTATGTTACTTATGCCTCTTCATTGGTTTTTTCAATTATTCTTTGGTCATACATTGCTTAGAAATTCAATTTTAACGAACAAAACGAAACAAAAAATGGTGCCATTTTCTACATGTGAATTTTATTTCGGTTGTGTATTGATATTTGCGTCATAGTAATGATTTGTTGCTAAAATCAAAGCTTATCGCGTTAAGATTTTGTATAATACGTACATCAAATTAATTAAATGTTGTTTGTAATTTCGAGTCTCTATTCACTAAAATATTCCGAACTAAGCAACAATAAGACAAAACGACAAAAAGTCGTTGAAAGTAATTAATTGAAGTTTATTTTCAGTTGAATGGATTAGCGGTATTAGAGAAGATTTATACAAATCTTATAAGAGCCAGTGTGAAGAAGCGAAGAATCGCTGTCACCTGTACTGTATAATTACTAGCTTACTTCGATGATATATTGAGTAGTGCGTAGATTATAATTATTTTATGACATTGCATCTGAATATTTTAGTGGAAATAGAACTATACGATTGGTTGATCTAAGATTCTTTTTATAAAAGGCTGTAAAATGTGTATACTTATTTGAGTGTAAAACATGCGTATATGTTTAATAAAGTGTTGAATATAATAATAATTAAAAAAAAAAAACAAATATGCCAGGCTGAGTCGAAATACACACCAAGTGTGTGCAGGTGCTACAGCTCGAATATGCAAAACAAAGAAAAATAAAATCGTTATTAACACTGAAGATAAAGAATACCACATCTTTCATTTTCAAGATTATTAAGAGAAAAATAATAATTATATCAATTACAAAGTACATACGTATGTAAAATTTCTATTGATTCACTATAATTTTTTTTATATCCGAGGATAAATGTTGTTGAATATGTACACGTTGAAATTGCAAAATAAAAAATTATTGAATTCTATCACTCATAATCTGCACTTAATTACTCAACTGATCACATAACTCGTATGGTTTTCCTTTATCACTCAAAAGTAAATATTATTCAAATATTTAACGAATGTATAACTATCAAGACAGAACTTGATAAAGCGATTATTTTTTGTACGAAACACTTGCACGAAAGCTTTGATCTTTTGCATTTGCAGATTTTAAAAAATAAGTTTAAAAAATTGGCACTTCGCTTAAAATCGGCTGTCAATAATACAATTTGAAATAGAACATTTGTCAAAGTACCCAAATGACTGGAGCTGCTGTACATATTCAATGGGTTCAGATGGCAGAGATGACGAATAATTTGATAATTTGATTTGATGGGGGCCGGTCGCGTCTGGACAACGAATGAGTTACACAAACGAGTTGTGGTCAGAGCTACATTTTGATATCGCGCTGGCAAAGAGGTCTCGTCTAAAAAGCCTCGCTACTTGGAGATCTAGCTAACTTTTTTAAATAATTAACGGGAAGAAAACTCACGATGATATCTACTACTCCGGGAAGAACTGCCAGTTGAGAGAAATGTTTGCAGAGCGAAGTGATCATCTTGGCTCTACCGATGTTTAGCTGCATGCAGTGCTGTAGGACAACTTTCAATCTGATCGAGTAGTAAGGATGAAATTTTTGTAAGTAGGTCCGATCGTGCAATAATCGCAAACCGTGATCCCTCACCCAAATATTCGAGGAGAAAAAATCAATGAGCAAGAGCTTATAGGTCGTCATGTCCGTAGACGTCGTGGTGTTCTGCATGTCCTTGAGCTGGCTTTGGCACTCAGCATAATATTCAGCGAACGTCTCTTCGTCCTTGATCTTCTGGTGGATCTTTTCGTCAATTTCGTGGCCTTGCGATTCGATCATGGCAAGGTGCGCCAAAATGGGTTGGATCACCGTCCAATTGGAAGTCCTAGTAACGTGTTCATCGCGAGGACGAAAGTCCAGCAGGCACTTTCCAGCCCGATCGAAAATTTGGACGTCAATGCTGCCGCTCATGAGTAACCCGTAGAGGCAGCGCATCCTGCTGGGAGTGTGCGCGGTACAATAGAAGAGCTCGAAGAGCGGGGTGCGGCCCAACGAGTCCCGATGGTTGATGAAGGTGGGCGTATTGCTCACTAGGAACTCAACGTTATCCTGAACGCGATACCTCATCGCAAAGTGCAGCGCGGTCTTGCCGCGCAAGCCGGGCTCGGGTGTGTACCCGCTCTGGACGACGCGGCGCATGAATAGCACCACTTGGGGATCGCCGTTGGCGAAAGCGTGCGCGGTAACGTCCCCGTGAAGCGCGGATTTGATGACCTCGTGGATTCCGTGGGTCATAAATATGGCCAGCACGTTCGCGATAGCTCTCTCGAATATTTCCGCGACGCAGCCGACCGTCATCGGATTCCAGTCGTTCCATTCGCACAGTTTCAACGCGTAAAAGTGTATTGCGTTCAAGTTTGGCTCTCGACTTACCGCCAGTCTCTTTATGCTCTGGTAGAGATACTGCTCCATCTGCTCGCGGTCCGGTCCGTGGTTAATCAACACGTCGATGTTCGATGTGTCCAGCAATTTCACGGCCGTCTCCATGCCTTTCGCATACTCGATGTCGTCGATGTCTGTGCTCAGGTCTATAAAGGTCCTGGTCAGGGTTGCGTTTTGCATGGCGACCACGTTTGAAAACGGACACTCTATATCGTCGATCATCGTCACGATTTCCTCGATCGATTTTCTCGACATGATTTTTTCATAAAAGAGCTCGCGAACGAGCGAGGGCACCGACCCGATATTCGTCAAAATCGAATAGAATGCACCCTCGATTGCGTCAATCGAGTTCGACATCCGAGCCCCGGAGCGAAGCAACACTTCGGCTACTTCGAAATTCCCGTTCTCCATGGCTATGACCAGTGGCGTTTTTTTTTCTGCATTCTCGGCGTTTGTGCTCTGGCCTCCTTTGATAAAGTGCTTTGTCAGCAGCACACTGCCCTTCATCGCCGCCACGTGCAGATCGGTCATTCCTTCGATGCAGCGTAAATTCATGTCGTTGGCATACCGCTTCAAGTCCTTCAGTTGAGCCTCGAGCACGTCATCCTTCTTATCTTCTTCTTGGTGGTCCTGCAGCGAAAACGTTTTTTTACTCGTTATTTTCCGCGGCAAGGCATCCTCCTTCTCAGTCGAGTACGAATGGCCGTAATTATTCTCTCAACCTAAGTGCTTCCTCTTTTCCGCGTGCAAAACCTTCGAACATATCTTCGATTTGGATTGTACAACTTTCGCCAAACAGCCAGCAAATTGTTTAGTCCAAATCGTTATCATATAAATCAAAGTGTCCGTCATTTTCGTAACGCAATTCAGCGAATAAGCGGTACGTACGGTACACGCGCAAGTTTCACTTTTCCAACTGCCGCGAAGTCTGCGAGCAGTGACCAATTTGTGGCAGTTGCAATAGCAACGTGAATGGTCAATCGAGTGCCTACTTACCATTTTTGCCGATTTCTCGCAGATTCCCAAGTGGTTTCGGCACTGTCAGCGCGTGTAAAAACGCGCAGCCTAGGTGCACCAGCACCACCGTCTCAATGTCCCAGTTGCTCAATGGAGTATGGCCAAATCTTTTGGGACAGCCGCAATTGATGGAACGTCAATTAGTTCCATGGCTGCTTAGACATTCTTGGAACGAGCTCAAGCTCAAGCTCACGCTGTCAACCCCCTGCTCACTCTGCAGTTAAATCGACGAGCCAGTGACACATCCTTGTTTCGTTCGCTCGCTCCACCTTAATCCTCTCGATCAGCTTTGCTCAATTTTGCTGGCAACTTGTTGATGATCTTTCCAAAATCAGCTTAGGGTTAAGATCACTTCGTTTTAATAACAATTGCTGGGCTGACATCGTAAACAGACGTTCATTCAAAGTATAACAACTAATTTCAAGCTAATCTACTGATTAGTTATGTAGAGCCTCATTCAAACATTCAATTGGTAAAACGCAGCATGTATAAAACGTATGAAAACCGTATAAATACGTTGCAAAGTGTTGCATTTTCAAAGTTGATGAACAATTCGATCCAGGATTAGACACATTCCGCAATGTAAAACTTTCGCATTCTGAAAATCACTGCAACAGACATTAATTATTAACTAATTATCACTGCAAGTGAAATTATTAAATTCTCGTCTATACAGAGAATCGAAATATTTTATTTATATCATAATGTTATTGATCAATATATCATCAATATATCAATAATTTACAATTTAGTTTCCTAAAGCGGCTATATCCTTACGCATCCTAATATTAAGGAAATAATGGAAAATGTAATTACATCGCCACTAATACGTCAATAACTATAATGGTATAAAAGAATATTCAAATGAAACCTTCTAAGCTTTAAGAAGTTATACGAGTTTCAACAAAATGGATTTAAAAATATAACGCCATTTCGAATTTATTCTAACTTAATAATCACATAAGAAGCCTAAACTACCAAAAAAGTGAGTTGTGATTTTCCAATAATACGAAAACTTTTTTTATTGATTATTATTTATTTCAGTTTTGTAAGACTACGAATAATGTGTAATCCGAGTAACATTATTTTCGTGCATTGCACAACAATAAGTAATCCCAACAAAGAAATACAGAAATCAAATGAAATCAAATTAACGAAATCACTGACCACTAATTATTTTCGAATATAATTATCACGTCGGCTTTAAAACGAACTACGGCCTTCGTTTATATACATTGTTTAAAACTGATTAGCAAGTGCTCATATCATTGCCTTATTAGCGTGTTTCACATCGGCGAACGACCAGTGGAAATTAATCTCAACTGTACTGTGAAATGAATTTGTTCATAATTTCAAGTGAGTTGTTGATAAATATACCGATGGTCAGTTGACGAATGAACAATCATTGTTACATTGGTTGAGAACAAAGATTTTTTTTTTGTTATTTTTTTAATCAAGGTAAAAATAAGAAATCATATTCAAAAACAAGCGACGAAGTTTTATCACATACGTATACCTATTACACGTCCTTGAGTCGAAAGATTTCGTATTTCCCGGGTGTTAACTGAACCTATCGTGCGCATGCTTTTATTTCAGCATGTATGTATGTATGTATACATCTGGCGCTCCGCAGTGAAGGAGAGTATGCATGTTCTGCTGCGGTGCCAACGCGCAATTGATAGCTGTTATTACTTTGACAGGCAATCATCGTAAAAGTCAACGCTACCATTCGCATTTGCAAAAATGTGTTTCTACGTGATTTCCGTGAAGACGAAAGCTCGTGTAAAAAGAATGTAATGTTGATAGCAGTGAATTGACGAGTTTGAAGACTCGGTAGAACCATGATTAGCGGCCTGCAAATCGCTCTTAAAAATGCCATTGACGTGGTGAGTGCAAGAGTTGATTATGTGCGGATTTGATGTTTCTATTATTCAATATTTTTATTTATTTTTTTTGTGTAGTGTAAGCTTAGAACTTATGATTTATCTTTTACTTATTACGCACATTACGAGACTTTGTATTTTAAGGTTATGCTGCTTCATTCATTATTGTTACAGTGTTTTTATTTTGTATGCTTGTCATTGTGATTGTATCATTTATCACTACGTTTCTGCTTTATATATTTGCAATTTTTTATGAATAAATCATGCACAGATATTTTTTTACAAACAAACCACGAGTATTTTATTTTTTTTCTGTAACCCTCATCCACTGCCTATTTATTCACACTTACAACCATTATTGATCTCGTGGAGTTTCTGACCATCATGTGAGTAATATAATATATTCTATTGCAGTTCTTACAAAGCTTATTCAAAATCATAAATCTTCAATCAAAATAAAATTTTAATTACATGGCTATTGCAGATTGCTCCACCAGCAACATCACTACAAGACTTTACTTACCATTGGAAACAGATTATGAACTTTTATGTTAACCACTTGACTGATTCTAAAGTACCCGTAGAGATAACTGGTATACCAAGGCATTTGGATCGTTTGTTAGAATTGCTGCTCGAAGAAGAAAAACATGGTAGCGAACCTGGTCCATGCTTGGAATATTTACTACAGCATAGACTTTTGGACTTGCTGGCAACTCTTGCCAGTGCTGAAACTCCACCTGGGATGAGACTAGTATGTCTATCATTTTTAAGGAAACTTTTGACAAGATCTAAACATCCCCTTTTACATCATGCAGCAGTTTATGGTCCTATACAAAGACTCATAGCAATATGTAATGGAAGTATTGCATCTCCAATTGAACACGAAGAGATACAATTTCTATTATGTGTCTGCTTTTTAGTTTGTAAATATCCACATGTAACAAATATAGTTAACGAATACAGTAATGTCCAGCGAGAGTGTGGAGTTTTTCAATGTGATTATGGGAAAGCAGAAATTGAGAAAGTAACTTATATTCCTGTTAAAAAACTGAAAACTATCAATCCCTTGTTTAAACCTCTGAATACGCAAGCTATTACTCTGGTGAATCCTGATTTATTTAAAATTAGGTGAAAAATGATTATTTAAAAAGTTTTAAAGTATTTAAAGAGTTTTACAATAAGTAATCAAAATAAATTTTTGTTCAGTAGCGCACAATCATCTTATAACAATTCGTTGGAGAAGCTGAGTATGCCATCAGAGGAAATACAAGACAAGCCGTCCAAACACAAGCGTAATACATCATCGAGATCCAATTCATCTACACAATCGAGCGGTTCATCATCTCGAGAAGCGGAACTTATTTCGCAATCGTCAAGCCCATTTACGCAAAAACCAAACGAAAACATACCAAATAACATTCCCTATGTTGGTGAAGACACTCAAGAAAGTTTGAATCTGTACAAAGTACTTGAACAAGAGGAATCTTCTAGCGAGTACGACCCAGTTTTAGCTGCGATAAATGATTTCAAAGACTTGAGAATAAACGAAGAATATGCATCGAGTAACAGTGATGTGAAATCGAGAAGTAGTAAACATGATATTACCCTTAGTGAACTTGCTAGTCCTGAAAATTCCAAATGTTTATTGTTAGACTCTCTGAAAAGCTACGTAAACAGTGCTGTAAGTACAAACGACTACTCATATAAAAGGGTTTTCATCGCGGTGAATTTCTTTAAAAACAGTTTTAATTTTTCGTTATAGGATAATACTATTAGGATTCGAGCGTGCGAAGGAATAATGGTATTGGCATCCTTAGACGATCCACTCTTTGCCGAAGTTGTTGCCAAAAGTGATTTAGCAAGCGTATTAACAAAGCGCTTAGAAGTACTCTTTAATTTAATACCAGCTCACGTTGAACCCAGCGAAGTTGACGATATCGAAGTTACCTGGGGCCTCGATTCACCTCCCATTTTAAACGACAAAAAATTTCCTGGCTGTAGAAAAGTTGCAGCCTTCTTCATGTGGCTGGACTTTTGCGCGCAGCTTTCACGAGAAGCTCAACCAGACGTCGCTGATGTCTTAGCACAAACCATCAGGATATCATTTTTCGAAAAAATATTTACTCCTGCGTTATCCGCTCATCATGCTGTATTAATTACTGCCCTTATAACAAAATGTTTGCGCGATATTCCTTCTTCACCACTGAGTATTGGTAAGTGTTTGATGAAATACACCATCAACTTTATGATAAAAAAAATGTCAATAAACGAATTTCGATAGAAATGGGTCGTTGGATGGTGGGCGCACGGAGAGATCCCAATATTCCAGAAGTTTGGAGTTGTCCAGTTATTCACAGACTCATAGAAAGTTGTTGTACGGAAAGTGATGATCTGACTTTAGAAACGTTAAAATTATTCGAGGAAGCCGTCGAAAGGAGGGATGAACATATACTACATTGTTTAATCTTGATGTATTTGAATACGCGTGGTTACTACGACACCAGTGCTGCAGATAGCGCAATTGCTTCGTGGAGTGACGAGGAGGACGAAAGAGAAAGAGAAAAGCGTGGTTCAATGGATCTTGCTTCGGGCATATGCTATAGTCGAACATTGGCACCTAGTAACATACATAGGATATTAAATTGGTATATTTAATACAGATAACTGAAGTTATCCATGATGAATTTTAACGTCTTATAAATATTTGTTTCTTAGTTTCTTGTCTTTAGTACCAAGACAGTTACAAACGGAGTCGGACAGCCATTACGGCCGATACATGGGAGATTGGGAAAAGCAGTATTCAAGAGTTGTGAAAAATTGTTCCCTCTTAGCATGGCCTCTAGAAGCAGTGACAGTAGACGATTCGGCTAGTTCCCACTCTCGAACAGATTCCGACAATTGCTCCAATAGATTCTATCCGGGTCCGTTTTTGTCAATGCTTTTAGAAAGAATCAGCAATATTCCTAAACAAAAATACGATATCAATTTTGAAGTCACCGGTTTGATTTCAAAGTTAGCATTATTACCGCATCCGTACCTTCACGAGTTTTTACTTAATCCTTTGATTCCACTAGCACAAGGAAATAAAAACTTATTTATTTGCCTACAACGAGTCGTTAAGCAACTTATGCATGATGTTCCGAAGTTAACTGATTACAAACAGGCTCTCAAGGAAACTAGATTACGATTGTTTGATAACTGTTGCATGAACGATCCTTCACAAGTAACGATCCTGAAAAATTGCATTAGGTATGTTTACAATTACATTATTTGACAGCAATCGATAATGAAAACTATAATGTTTGTTGTCAGGCCAAAAGAAGAAGAAATATTGCTCGAAAGTGTGATACTTACTGAAGAATTTTGTAAAGAATTAGCTGCGATTGCATATGTTAAGTACCATCATTCCACATAGTATCTAATGTAATTGACGAATTCGTGTAAATCTAGTTATAAATGTGCAGATTGTACATATAAGAGTAATTAAAGTTTCATAGAAAAATATCATGTTTTGCTTGACACAAAATGTTACCGTAACGTAGACACAAATTTAACTATTATAATTATAAAGTAAATTAAATCGATCATCGATTAAACCTGCTTTATCGGGTATAATTTTTTTAAAACAATAACTTAAGTGTTATATGCTTATAAATTTGATTAACAATTTTTGGGAATAAATTTTGACGTATGTAAATAAATGACAATAGCAATTTTCGTACAAAAATTATACATGTAAATTGAAAAACTATTTCCATGCACAATTGCTGTAGATATTAATAACAAATATCAAAATAAATTATATAAATAAATATGAAAATCTATTTATTTCTCTGCTTGAAATTGAAATTCTATGCGATTCCGATATAAGCTCTGTTAGACTATTAACTTTGGAACTTCAAATAACAAGTATGCTGACAGCATACAGTGATGAAAAAATCAACAACAATAACAATTCAGAGAATTATAGTTCTACATATTCAACAGCAGAAATGGAATATATAATACAGATGATTTTGTATTTATAAAAGTTCTTTACGTTTGGTGATTGGTTGGTATAGTAATAAGGAGAATGAAATAATTTATAGTAAAATTATTATAATAAATACATAAAATAAATGTGACAAATTTTACTTCAGTTTGAAAATGGACATAATAGTTGAGAGCAGATAAGACATACCAACCACAGAAGTATTTGAATTACATCTTCAAAGAACCATTTATATCAGTACGTGTGAAAAGGCTTTCTACATAAGGAGATGTCAGTCAACAGACGTCGAATCGAAATTATAAAGTTGAAAATCAAATTGTTTTTCATTTTTTATATTTTACATTAAGGCAAGTGATTTTTTTATAATTGAATCGATTGGAAATTGAACTGTTCCTCTATGTCATTCTTTTTAATAATGCTAAATTAGTTTTAATAACTGTATCAAGTTTATTACTCCGAGGCATATTTGATTATCCAGTAACGGCTGAAGCAGAGTACCGGAATTATTTAATTATTTTTATTTTTTCTATTTATTTTTGAAATACGCGCCCTTCAAAATTCCCTAGCAATAATTCTGTGCACGACGCTGCGCATTAGTTCATTTTTCAAACATCATGCGTCAGAATAGACGTTACAGAATCGTTGTGTGATCACCTTATGACAATACAATTTTTTCTGAAAGTTGATGGTAAAATGATTACTCCGAATTATTTAGCTAAAATTCTTGTAGAAACTATTACTGGTGGTGAAGTAAACTATCCTAAAATCATAAATATCAATAAAAGGGATTTAGCAACAAAAGGAGATTTATCATTCCAACTAAAACTTGATTTTTGGAGAGGTTATATTGACATTAAATCAGAAGGATTTAAACATGCAAAGAATATATTAGAATATTACAAATATTTGAAGCATGAGTACTCCACGCACCAACACGATTCAACAAATATTGAACAAATTTTAGAAGTCTTTGAAAATGATGTAAATATAGTTTGTGAATTTTAAATTATTTCATTTACCACTTATAAAATTTAAGAATATCTGATTTTTTTAGATCAACAAACAATTAAATTGTACAACGGGTAAAGAACACAACCATGTTGTAATGAAAATTTCAAATGACTTTGTACTAGTCAATTACAACAGATCAAATGCTGCCTATTTGGTTATCAAAACTGCAATTAAGAAGGGTTCTGAATATGGAATGAAAAATGAACCTAAGAATATAATGCTGTCAGTAGATTATGATTCTGATAGTGAAATGACAAATCAACGTTTAAAATTGCAAAAGCAAGTTTCTGAAAATTTACTAAAATGTCAATCTTGTGAGTTACAGAAGAGGAAAAACATAACTAACTATATATTTACTGTGAAATCAGAAGGTTACACAGAGGAAAACCATATTAAATATTTTTGTGGTGCTGTTTTAAATTCTAAGAAAAAAAAAGAAAGAGACTTGAAATTCTCTACTTATTTGGAAAGAAAAATTGAAAAAATCAAATATTTCAATGCTCAGAGAATTTCCGATGTATATATTAATAAAGACAATTTCGAAAAAGCTATTTTGAGGATAGCTAATGCTTCAATCAACTATGAATTGTTGTCGACTAAACATGATAGCCCAGTGATTATAAATCAAAGCAACAATGTAGATAGATTTATTAAAGGTACTGTGTATTTTGTTTTATAACATATAATTCAATGTTAATTAAATAAAGAATTAACAATAATTTTTTTTCTTTAGAAGCTTCATTTGTTCTGTACAATAATTCTAGAATAAATTCTATATTGGATAAGTATAGTAAATTAGTAAAAGATAATCAATTCTTCCAAATCAAACCTATAGAAAAAATTAACTCATTTGAAAAAACAATGGATGATGTTAGTATTGTTATTTGTTAGATTATTTGAGTTTTATAAGATAGCTTGTTAAATCATTACATTAAATGTTATATATTTTCAGGATTCTTGGTCACTTGTATACAATTACCTAATGAAATATTCAGATATTTTAGAAAGTTTAGTCATTACTAAGCCAAAACTTAAAGTAAAGATTCACTTGTTATGGTCATTTATATCCAATTTGTGTCATGACTTCAGTAGGTATTATCAACGGAATAGAATCTTGTTGGTAAGTAAATATTTTAGTTTGAAAGTCAGTTACCTCATGAAATTCCCTTGACCTAAGTTGTATCTTTTTAGAGAGGAACTGAATTCAACAACCAAATGATCGATATTATGACTGAAAGGTT